CAGAATACACGCTCTGCACCCCCTGCTGGTACACTCCATAATAATCTTTGTGGTGCTCAGTGATGACTTAGAACACAGACTGGGAATCCCCTCCCTGTGCTCTGACTCACTGACTGAGCGCCAGAGAGACGAGGGAGAGATTATTATGGCTGCACCAGCAGGAGGTACAGAGTGTGGTACCCCCTACTGAGTTGAACCTGGGGCAGAGCGCCCCCACCCCCCTCCTTAGTATGCCACTGACTATATTCACTCTGCATTGACTATACACATACTACATCCACTACACAAACACACACTCTGTATTCACTATACACACACTACATAAACACCCACTTTGCATTCACTATACACCCTCTTCATCTATGCATCTATGTGTGTCTGTCGGTGTGTGTGTGTGTGTGTAGCCGTCGGTGTGTGTCTATGAGTGAGTTAGTAAATGTGTGTGTATGTCAGAGTGTCAGAGGATGTTGGTGTCAGTTAGTGTATGTCAGTGTATGTGGATCTGAGAGTGTGTGCCTGTCAGTGAGTGGGTGTGTCAGTGTGTATCTTCCAGTGAAAGTGTGAGTTGTTTAAACTGTGTGTGTGCCAATGACTGTGTATATGTTAGTGCATGTGTCAATGAGGCCGTGCATCTGTCAGTTAAAAAAGTGGCTTTGATATGAAGTGGTGGATCAAATTTAGATTAGGGGGTGCCCGAATTTAGTCGTGCCTAAGGCACAAATCCAGCATACACCACTGTATGCACACAGCACTAGGAGTGTGTCTGCAATGTCAGCAGATTTGGATTGCATGCGTGTTTCTCATGTAAATACAGTCTGCTTGACGTGCTTGAATAATATTTGTCTCTCCTTATATTGACCTCCTCCAACAGTTCCAGCCCTCTACCAAAATAGCAATTACTCCCTACCTTCAACAGTGACAGCTCTCTCAACATATAATTTATTCACTTCTCCCGCCCTCAGTACGTATCCTTTATTATACATAATGCTGCTCCAACCTACCTATCCTCCCTTATACACAAGTATGTCCCGTCGAGGCCCCTACGCTCTGCCAAAGACCTACGTATATCCTCTGTCCGTACTCCCACCTACAATGCTCGCCTCCAAGATTTTTCCAGGGTTGCACCTCTTCTGTGGAACTCCCTTCCCTTGCCCAATATTATTTCTCCCAACTACTTCCGGTTAACGTCCGTGACCCAAGAGGAAGTTGGTCATCACCACGAACTCTCTATTGAATATATATGATGCACTACATATCCCAGCAGCCACCAGCAGTTGCGGCGCGTCATTTCCAGTCGACGCCGCGACCGAACCAGAAACAGGAAGAACAGCACCACACCGGATAGGAATTCAATTAATGAGACTCCTTATATAAGTCTGGTCGAACATTAAGCACATTTACACTTCTGATAAAGCTCAAACTCGGGTGAAACGCGTCAAGTGAAGGACTGGAAGCTGCATTTTATTTTAGATTGTTTTTTATCAATAAAGTCAAGCTTTTTTATCCAATCCTTTTTTCATTTCTCCTGGTGCTGCTAGATTCCTCTTATATACCTATATGTTTTGGTGGCGATCATACCACCACAAGCCAACTATACCAGAGCAAGTTATTGCTCTGGATACTGTAAGTAGGATATCTTCATTTTAATATTCCAATTCTGTTGTTTATACTGTACCACTGGTTTTTTGTATTTTTTTCTTTCTTCCTATATATGGTTGCTGAGTCTGGATATCCCATACAGCCAACATCTACATATCCTAAGACGGGGATTGTACCGTCAAAGTGCTATACAGCAGAGCGCTTAGTAGCTCTGTAAAGTGTGAGTTTGCCTTCTATCAGGAATTTTATATTTACTTGTATTTATGAATTTGACATATTGCACTATTATTCTATTGTTTTTTCTTTGTTTCCTTTGAGGATTTCATTATGCTATATTAACCAAGATGAATATGTATGTATAATAGATTTATTTGCACTTTTGAGCTTATTCATCCATTGAGTGCCAAATTTGCAGTGATTACTTCACTGGAATGCAGGCAGTTACAAGATGGCAATGCTGAAATCAGTGCAGAAAAGAAACATACTTTAATTAATAGGTATTATTATAAAAATAGATAGATAGATAGATACACACACACACACACACACACACACACAAGCATACTGATAGATAGATATATACATATACATATACACATACTGACATACACACACAGACATACATGCATACTGACATACATACTGATAGATAGATAGATAGATAGATAGATAGATAGATAGATAGATAGATAGATAGATAGATAGATACAGGCATACACACACACACACACACATATATACATACATAGATATATACACACATACATACATACACATACACATACATACATAGATAGATACACACATACATACTGACAGACATACATACACATACATACATAGATAATTACACACATATATACTGACAGACATACATACACATACATACATAGATAGATACACACATATATACTGACAGATATATACATATACATACATACTGACATACACACAGAGACATACAGACATACACACATACTGACAAACAGACATACATGCAGACACATACATACATTCTGATATAAATACAGACATACACCTCATTATTCAGCCACCCTCCTATTCCTTACCTTTAAGTTGCAGGAGGGTGGCTAGGGATGATGGGAGCGGATGCCTCTCCTCTCCTCTGCTCTCTCTACCCTTCCGGCAGAGTAAGCTGGGAGGAAGTGACCGGCCGTCACTTCCTCCCAGCAGCATTTGCGGTGCAGCCGCATATATTTTTTTAAAAGGGCCTGGTCGCGCTATTACAGCGCTGGCCGGCCCCTGAAGATATAGGGCTCATCGGGTGGCCCTAAATGCTTGGGCCACCAGATGGGCCCCCGGTGCAGATGCACCTGCGGCAGTTTTGCCACTCCATGTGGGGCCCGGACATCACCCCCTGATGGCGGCCCTGGCGGAATCTGATGGCGCGATATATATAAAATAATATTAATAATAATTATTGAATCCCCTCCCCTTGTTATGCCCCCTAGTTCACCCATTTGCAAGTCCACACTTCCTCCTTCCCCTCCTATCAAAGATTCAGTTAGAAAATATTCTACTAATGTCTATATTATTGTATTACACCAATCAGTTTTTTTTGTCATCTGACCTGTTTAAATTGCTTTTGTGTAATGTTCTATTTTTGTTTGCATTATAACTTTACTTATTGCCACTGTAATTATTATTTATCCATAGAAAGTGCCCTGCATAATGATTCTACACAAGAAATATAAACTAAACAAATACAATTAAATAGTTTTTTCATCAAAAGTTAGGATGCAACATTTCCTGCAACTGACTTAAGCAATGCAGCATGAAATAAACTTGGAGACATAACTAATGGAAAACAATTTACAAGGTCTCCTATTATTCAGGACCAGTTGGGTACTGGTTGAAAATGATATACATAGTGCAAGTACAGTAATATATAGCATCTCTGCTATTTGCATATAGCAAATGCTGAAACACAAGTCAGTTGTTCAAGTACTGAATTTTAGATGTCTCAGAATCTCAAGACATCCATTTCATTAAAGCCAACTGTCTGCATTGAGTATTCTGCAGTCATATAGTTTAGAAATTAAATTAAATAAATATATAATGCATGTTTTATCCATCCTACATTATTTGGTCCATGGAATGGTAAATGCCTGGTTGTTATACTTTTATTCTCCCCCCATGCCGAGTAAGGTGGCGGGCACCTGGTCGCTGCGACCCCTCGACCGCGGTATGCTGCACACACACACCTAAAGGACCACTACAGACACCCAGATCTCAGCTCAATTAAGTGGTCTGGGTGCCAGGTCCCTCTAGTTTTAACCCTGCAGCTGAAAACATAGCTGTTTCAGAGAAACGGCTATGTTTCACTGAGGGTTAATCCAGCCTCTGGTGGCTGTCTTTGACAGCCGCTAGAGGAGATTCCGCGGGAAAATCACAGTGAGAAGACACTGAACGTCCATAGGAAAGCATTGAGTAATGCTTTCCTATGGGCGGTTTAAACATGTGCATTCGGAGCTGAGAGGCGGAGGGATCCCCAGCGCCAAGGAAGTCCGGCGCTGGAGAAAGGTAAATGCTGAAGACACACACTCTCACGAACAGACGCATACACACTAGCTAACAGACACACACATTTACTGACAGACACACTCAGCGACAGACATACATACACACTCACTTACAAAAAACACACACTCACTAACAGACATCAGACACACCCAGTAACAGACACACCCAGTAACACACACACTAACTAACACTAACACACACACACACACACTAACACACACACACTCTAACACATGTTTTTTTTTTAAAAATTTAATCCCCCTAGCCTCCTTACCATTTGGAGTCCTGGGGGGATTCCCTGGGGTCCAGTGGTGATGCTGGGCTCCTGGGCGGCCAGGCTGTCTGGGTGGCCAGTGTGCGAGGGAGCACTTTCCCCTAAGTGCTTCCTCTTCAGCTGCCTCGCGCACCGCGTAGGGAATGCCGGAGCCGAAAGATTACGTCATCTTCCGGCTCCGGTATCAGTGCGGTGCGCGAGGGAGCGGAAGAGGAAGCACTTAGGGGAAAGTGCTCCCTCGCACGCTGGCCACCCAGACAGCCCGGCTGCCCAGGAGCCCAGCAGCACCACTGGACCCCAGGGAATCCCCCCTGGACTCCAAAAGGTAAGGAGGCTGGGGGGATTCAATTTAAAAAAAAAACATGTGTTAGAGTGTGTGTGTGTGTGTTAGTGTGTGTGTTAGTGTGTGTGTGTTAGTGTGTGTGTTACTGGGAGAAGAGGCTGGCCCTGTGGGTGCATAACGGGTCGCAGTGGCGGCCGCCCCCCCTGGTGGCCCGGGCCCGGTCGCAGCCGCGACCCCTGCGACCCTGGTATGTACGCCACTGATCCTTAGGAGTTAGGGTATAGAATGTTTATGAAAAGGCTTTAAGATATTGATGTGACATGATCTCAATTCAAATGTATTCATTTTTAATGGGGGTTATGAACTAATGTAGGGGTATAGAGGCTGTAGAGGGGGATAGGGGCAGTAGTGGCAGAAAAAACATATAGTGTAGGTATAGGGGCTGTAGTAGGGGGATAGGAGCTGCATTGAGATCATAATGGTTATAATGGGTGGTGTTGGATAGTGGCTACCATTGATAGAAATAGTTCCTACAATAAGTGGGGAATAGTGTCTACGGTGGGAGGATAGTGGCTACAGTGGAGGGATATTGGTAATAGTGTTGGTTAGTGTCTGTAGTGGGGTATAGGGTTGATAGTTGGGAGGTACAGGCTGAGGGGCTGTATTGAAGGGAAAAACTTTTTTTTAAATAAAAATAAAAAAAACATGAAGTTTCTTCTCCCCTTCCTGGGGCTTACCTTGGGCCAGGGAGGGTGGGAATTCTGATCCCCAGTGGAGATGTTGTCTGCACCTCCTACAGGCTACAATGTGTTATAGCGTTGCTGTAGTAAACCGAGGCAACACTCTGATGCAATAGATCACAGCGAGTAAGAGAGATTCAGCAGAGCAGCATCGGCCTTTGTGGCCTTATGGCATATCGAGCCATGACCGGATATGTCATTAGTTCAATGCAAAGAATTTTTGTCCCATTTTTTTACAACACAAGCCATGACAAATCAGTAACATTATGCATTTCAAAAATGAAGAAACTTTGTGACAACGTATGTCATGACACGAGAAACTGAATATTTGAAATATCCATTTTTAAAGCATTATCCTCAAATTATATTACGAGACAAGTATTTTTATTATATAGCTTTAATAAAAAGTTGTTTCATACTGGCCCACAGTAAAGATACTGTGATATATCAATTTGGTAGTGTACAACGATCAGGGGCATGTCAATTTATTGTCACAGATGGAACAGAAATTGTCTGTCACAGAATTTATCCATCCGTCTTGGAAATTGAATAACCAGCGTGGGCAGGAAGATTCTATGCCTTCTCGTACTGACGAACAGATACAATGTCACCGAAAGTAAGAGTCTGAGAAAAGAACAATAGTTATTGTTAGAAAGAAAAAACACAAGTAGAAAACTTATGGAATAATATGATGTATTGGTGGCAATGATTGTGTTAGATATGTTTAACCCCTTAAGGACTAAACTTCTGGAATAAAAGGGAATCATGACATGTCACACATGTCATGTGTCCTTAAGGGGTTAAAACGTACAATATATATTTTAATAAATGTATTTTTCTATGTAGCAGTTTTAAAATTGATACTTGATGCTGTGTCTGTAATCTGGTTACAAACATGTCTCCCACTGAAATGCATTGGTTATCTCAGCCACTTGCTGATCTCTGCAGATATAATTGCAGAAGAACAAATAAAATTCAGAAATAATCATAAATGTAAAAAGTGTAAAAGAAATAAGGTTACCTTTACTCCCTCACTGGTCTTGCTGTGGCTGCCCTGCCTCCATGGTTGGGACGCTCATCATTGGGAGGCTAGTGCATATGCATGGCAAATTATTTTTTAGTAGCTGCATTTGGGAACCTGACTCACAGGGGGAATGCCGCTAGTAGCTGTTAGTTACTGTGTTTTAACCCTGCATTGGAGTCAGAAGAAACAGGTGGTCCAGGCACTCTATCATTTCAAGCAGCTTTATTGGTCGTGAACAGACATTGCAACATTTTGGCCCACAACATGGCCTTTGTCAAGCTTGACAAACGCTCTATTGTGGGCCGTAAAATTTCAATGTCTGTTCAAGACCAATAAAGCTGCTTTAATTGATAGAGTGTCTGGACCACCTTTTACTTCTGACTAAATGACATTGAGGGATTGCCAGCCCTTGTTCAAGAGCACCCTAATACTGTTTATATGAGTGTGGCTTCCTTTTCTAGTGTAACACTGCACTGTAAACATTACAGTTTCTACAAAATTGCTATGTTTTACATGCAGTGTTTAAACATTAACATTGCACCCTGTCATCATGTTTATGGCAAAGTCTATTTAAAGCTGAATTGACAAATGTGAGATTTTTGAACAACCGAATGGCAAGCTAAATATTGCTATGGCTTGTACTTCGTATTTATTTATTTATAAGTCTCACTTGTTACGTTTTGTTAATTTGAATGTTATGCCAAACACACCAGGCACCGCATGTAAATTAATGGAACACACCCATTCCATAATGGATGGAAAAAGATACCCAGAATTCAGAAGTGCAGTAGAGATAAGTGTGTTTTTTACTTGCCTCCTTTGACTTACTCACCACACCAAATTATTTACTAGGTTGAGGGAACAACAAATTTTCACTCTCAGAGAAGCAACAGTTCTGAATTAAGGTTGGTACTTACGTTATAAGAAAAATTCCAAATAACTATATCCTTTAATACTTACCATAACCATTTTTCCATCTTTCATTTCCCTGACAAACTTTGTCTCTTTGCCATCCCATTTCTGAACATGCACCAACTTATCCCCATCAAGGGATACAGTAGACTGTTAATAAAGACAAGAAAGAATTTTAAAAAATGGTTATATTATTGCCCTCAATTTACTTAGTAAATCAACCCCCTTAATAATCGGTTAACATTAATGATGAAAAAAAACAGAGCATTCAAATAATAAATAGTGAGTAGTAAAATGTATGCTATCATTTGCGATGATTGTTTTTCTAACAAAATTCAAGATCATGGAACCCAAAGCAATATTATGAGTTTATTAAAAACAATGTGTAATTTTATCAGTCTCTTCAAAAGCACAACCCCCTACTAACAATGAGAAAACCAATATATGGTCCTCCCTATTTTTGCACAGAAAGTTGACAATACTAAGTAACTATGCAATGGCTTATCCCTCCTGTCCATTCGAATTGCTATGAGATATCTGGCTAATATACCATAAAGGAGTCTTCTAGATTTCTTTTTCACTATGAGTATTTCCCAAGATCACCATGATCTTTTAATTTAGAAATAGAGGCCTTTAAATATACAAAAACCACCCAGGTCTCATAGTAAGCTAGATGGCAGCAGATACCATCATTTGGCTAACCTCTCACTTCATATGAAGTGGAATATGGGTACCATGATGAACTGCTGCTTACCTTGTTTCTGACCATTTATGTGTCCATATTGAGGCAGTGCATTTATACACAAGGGTTTTAAACCCCAGGTATATTTAGTGTATCACCCTTCCATATTTAAAAGGTAGAGTTTTTATATGTCCCTTTTCTAGAGGAAAGAATGAGAAGGATCCCAGTTTTTATAGCACACAGTAGCAACTCACCCACAACACCTTTTAAAAACGTAATAACTCTAACATTGTTAACAATGTCAACATATCCTCCTTATTTGTCAATTCAAATAGGCACCCAGAAAAATTACATGTTGGATTGTAACTCACTGATAAAAAATATATATATAATAAGAATAATAAAAATAAATAAGTGTGTGTGTTGATAGATTTAAGTATGAAGATGTATGAGTCAGTGTATACTTATGAGTGTGTGGGTGTATGAATGTGTGTATTTTTGTCCATGGGTGCCATCTAAGATTTTTTTTTTTTTTGAATTTTTCTCAATGTATATTTTGTAGTAATGTAAAAATTTTCTCTTCACTGAAATGTGTTGTAAGCTTTTTACCAATAATACCGTATATACTCGAATATAAGCCGAGTTTTTCTGCAAATTTTTTTGTGTGCTGAAAAAGCCCCACTCAGCTTATACTCAAGTCAATGTCTGTATTATGGCAACTTACATTGCCATAATACAGACCAGGACCGCCGAGCTCATTACAAGCCCGGCGGTCCTGTTGGGGGCTGGCAGAGAGCTGTTACTTACCTTCCTGCAGCTCCTGTCGGCTCCCTTCTCCTCCATGCAGCTCCATTCTGCTTACAGTGTAAGTCTCGCGACACCCGCGGCCGTCAGAGCGTTGCCACGGGTTACCGTGGCAACGCTCCGCGCAGCATGCAGACGCGAGACTTACACTGTAAGCAGAACGGAGCTGACAGGGGAGCTGCATGGAGGAGCTGCAGGAAGGTAAGTAACAGCTCTCTGTCAGCCCCCCCCCCCACTGCACAGCCCATCCACTGGACCCCCAGGGATTAAAATAGCCCCCCTCCCTGGCCAGGCAACAAGCAGGGAGGGGGGACAAAAAACAATTAAATAAAAAAAATACAAATATTAAAATAAAATAATAATATTAAAATAATAATAATACTATTACAATAATAATATTAAAATATAATAATAATATTAAAATAAAATAATAATATTAAAATAATAATAATACTATTATAATAATAATAATATTAAAATATCATAATAATATTAAAATTTAAAATTAAAATAATAAAAATGCCCTCCCTTCACCCAGTTTACACACACTACACAAACACACACACACACACTGCATTCACACACACACACTGCATTATATACACACACTGCATTCACACAAACACACACTGCATTATAGACACACCCTGAATTATATACACTCACTGCATTCACACGAACACACACCGCATTATATACACGCACTACACACACACACACACACTGCATTCATTATATACACACACTGTAAATAAATATTCAATTAATGGAATTTTATTGGGATCTAATTTTATTTAGAAATGTACCAGTAGCTGCTGCATTTCCCACCCTAGGCTTATATATGTTTTCCCATTTTTTTGTGGTAAAATTAGGGGCCTCGGCTTATATTCGGGTTGACTTATACTCGAGTAGATACGGTAATAATTTTTATTTTTTTTAAACATGTTTCAAGCAAGGTTGTCCTTAGATTTCAAAAACGTTCTACTTTATGGTATGCATACTCCAAATCCAACATCTGATTTTTTTTTTTAACTCACTAAAGCATTAAGAAGTGAGAACAGTTCTAGGGAAAAGTGCAAAAATATGGACCAGAAATTAGATAAATTAATTTGCTTTCCATAGGAAATGACGTTTCCCTAGAATTGTGCATAACATGATTGCAAAAAGACTGAAAACCAATGCTGTGGATGATATGAAATCTGGTAAGCAAAATCTTCAATAAACTTTTAATACTTTTCATACACAAATCAATATTGTGGAGATATAAATGACAAAAGTAAGATACTTCTATATCAGGCATTATTTTTAATTGAATTCACAAATTAACACAAGTCAGTAGATTTCTGTCTGATTGTAGGATCCCCTAAGCCTTATCCAACCTAATGCAAAGTCCACTTAAAACAAGGTTCAACTTAATCCTAACTATAAGACCCCTTAACCTAGGCCTCCCAACCATAACATTAAACATATATCTTTTTGATCCTGACAACTACATTTAAAATATCTCTTTTATGACAAGCTCTACAATGACACCAAGGCTTCCCTTTGGGTAGAGTGAGTAGAGTACCAGTACTTGACCCTACGCTGAGGGCCAAAATGAATTCCTTTCAAGTGTAGCATTAAACATACATTCTTAATTCTGGCAACTATATTTAAAATGGTTTGGCTATGATAAGCTCTGCAATAACAGCAGGGATTCCTTTTGGTTAGGGTGAGTGGGGTACCAGCAGTTGAGATTGTGATGACAACCGCAATTGAGTGTCTATCACCATATTGTCTATGGGAACTAAAGAGAGCATTGAATGCTGTCATCTAATCATCGAAAGACAGCATTGCATGCTGCACTATGGTCAGCGCTACTGCTTGGTAAAATGTAAACAGTTAGCAGGTGTAATGAGGTCATAGGCCAGATCCAGCTGCCTGTTTGATGTGCTGTGAGCAAAAACGGGGATTGTGAGGAAGGCTGTGTTCCTGAGTTATGTGTATGTTTATGTTCATCTGTGGATTGCTGCTAGTGTGTGACTTATTGTGTACTTGTGCATCCTTTCACAAGTGATTATGTGTCTTGTGTGTGACTTCATGAGTGCTAGTGCTTGCTTCTATGAGTGCTATTGTGTGTCAATGTGTGCATGCTAGGATGCACCTGTGTACTAGGGTGTGTCTATATACTAGGACATGTCTTTATATGTGTGCACCCTTGTGCTATGGTCTTTCCATGTACTAGGATTTGTCTTTATACTTGTGCACCCATGTGCTATGGTGTGTCTATGTACATGTGCTGTATCGCAGTGTTGCCAAATGATGCAAATCATTTTGAAGATCCCTATCACAATTTACTGCTGCTTTAAAAACAATTTCAGTATGTTTTTACAGTTGACTGTCAGATGAACCTGCAATAAAATAGTATTTGTCATTCTTCACAAGGAGCTAGTACTGTAAGTTAACCAGCTTTCCTGACACACTCAGCTTACTTACAGCATCTATGTGCATTTGTCATTACCAAGTTAATGATGATGTTTATATATCATAATGATAAGCTACACAAAGATTTCTGGTGTGTTTTAGTCCCTTTAACCTCTAAATAGCAACCACCAATTAACGCAGCTATATCCAACTCATGTTAAAAACAGATTATCATTTTACAAATAAATCATATCAGCCTTGGGTGGACTTCACAGTTGATTGTTTCAGGGTAGAATTTACATCAAGGATTCCCAGTGGATCCAATTCTTTTCTTTTTTAGGGTTACCATGCAAGTTGTTATAAGACAATGGCATATAGACATCGGCCAACCACATCCCATCCCTCATTGTATTTGATCTGTTGTCTGTTTGTCAGTCTATCCATATATCTTAAGTCTAGGAGAGAGAGTCTAGGAGATCTATAATCTGTCTAAAAATGCTTATTAATTCAAGGAACATATTAAAAGAGAATATTGCTTCCATCACTGTACATCTTCTGTTCTCATTCTATCTATCTATCTGTCTATCTATCTATCTATCTATCTATCTATTTTTACAATAATACCTATTAATTAAAATATGTTTCTTTTCTGCACTGATTTGAGCATTGCCATCTTGTAACTGCCTGCATTCCAGTGAAGTAATCACTACAAATTTGGCACTCAATGGATGAATAAGCTTAATACATTATGTAATTAGTTCTCAACTAATTTCCAGAATGACTTGCGCTGCCTCACTTGTCACATGGCCATCTACTCTACATACTCATTTATAGACATGCTTAACCCCTAAAATCCCAAACAGCATTAATTGTTATAGTAAAAGAGTTCTTTACATTGATTAGTCTGTTCACTGTGATAAATAGTGAGAAAATTTCAGTTTGCTTTTATCAGTGATTGCACTTTATTTAGCACTTTACTCTAAAATATCACCGCTTCTCTTAGTACATATGGCCCAACTGATTCTCATGTTCTCTATTGTGCAGTTACAAAAAAATTGAGAATAAAAATGTAATTGTTACCCTTTTTTTGTTGTAATGCAAATGGATAATACCCACTGAAATCACCATTGTGCATACAATACAAACACTGTACCTGCTAAAAGCACTAACTGGCTTAGATAGCTGTACATTATATTAACATAAGACTCACCTTGCAGTTTCTGTCGTCTGCTGTGGCTTCATCAAATTCTTCTCCCAACTTGAAGCTGATCTCTGTATTTTTGAATGTGCTCTGGGTTCTTATGACCACCTTATCGCCCTCTTTGCTGATGATAACCGTAGGCTTTGTCACATTCCCAACTTGTCTGGTGGCAAAGCCAACTCCTGCAGATAAAAAATACATTTATTATTTTTAACCCCAAATAATATGTTTTCATGTTTAACAGCTACCAACTAGCATTGTAAGCCAAATATTAGACAATAAATCTGTAGACTGGCATCAGACGTGAGAATTTACTTTAGTCTAAAAGTGCCTTAAAAAAAAATAACTACGTCTATAATGGTGTTACCTAGACTTTGCTTTAAAAATCCCTCTAATCATTTCCCTTGTAAAGATGCTCAAACACAGCATGTGTATCAAACAATTTTGGTTTCAGATTCTGCTGAATATCTTATCATCTGGCATGGGTGATGTGATCAACACAAATCTGCTGCTTAAGGGATGTGACACATACCCAAAGCTTTCATGTACTCATCAAAGTTCTCGCTGTCTACCAGCTTCCAGGTGGCACAGAAAGCATCTACCATTTTTATCAGAGGTTCTAAAGCAAAGTGCAAAAATCCGAGCTTGTAGTGGCTTTATCCTGTCTTAGGGATGTGCTGGCCAGATTTAGACGGGAGCTCTACTTATTGGGAGGTTTGTAACTGGTGATATGGGCTGGACGTGTCCTAGGAGAAAAGAAATCGACCCTATTCAACCTCACACACCAATGAGATGCTAAGAGGCGGGCTGTGTATAATACCCACAACTCAGACAAAGAGCCAGGAAAGTGAATGCTTAGCCCAGTGCACTTGAACTGATTTTCTAAAGGGTCAGATTTGAAAAAAAAAAAAATTCCAAAAAGACATCAACCATGTGTTTAAATGCAAAATTAAAAAAAATACTTTTTAATGGTAAAAAAAGGAAAACAAATATTATGTGAAGTAGGTATATTTTTTATATTGAAGCACTTAGTGCAAAGAATATAAATATTTTGCATAATTATTAAGTCACTGTAACACACTCAGAAAGGCTTGCAGGCTGTAAACGAATGCGTCATCTTTATTATTTTGTAAACCACGCAGAAAAGGTATTCCATGTTGTCTTTCCCATTCCTTCTATAATGCATACATCATATAGATATTGAAAACCAGTGGTTGATAAAAACAATCATTTATACCGTAAAGATTTATCCTTTCAGTCCCGGACCTAGATGTCTGACATGTTCAACTCATACTCATTTAATTCTTCATGAGAGCCCTTCTTCCATTTTTTGTTTTCATTGCTTCCTAATGAACTTTCTTGCAGCCCATATACACATTTTAAGATGCAGTATTTTTATATTTATCCATGGATGCATGCAGTCATTCTCAATGCACATCTGCCTGCAAAAATAATAAAAATAAATATGTATTATTATAATTTTTTATTTTATTTTTAATTTTTTTAATCTATATAAACAAAAGAAAAAGTAAATGAAAAGAAGCAACAAAGGGAAAACTGTAAATACCTTGCTTTATCGTGTAATTAAATTGCTTTAAAAAATGATTAATTCCTTTTCAATTCAGTAGATGAAGGTTTTTTTTTTGGGGGGGGGGGGTTTAGTATTTGCATACTACGCTACAATCCCCATTCCCATGCTGACAAAGTGACATGAGGTAACTGCAGTTCATTCTCCTCTTTAGCATCAGGAGAATGGATGGTGATTAAATAAGAGGACTGTAGCTGGCTTTTGAGCGTAATCCAATTGTTGCAATGGCTTTGCCAAACAATGAGCTGCTTTATTCTCATGGCAATCATTCTTGCAGGCGCAACATGAACACACTAGACTGCAAGACATTTAAACTGTAGACCTTATTTTAAGCAATATTTACACATTTGTCATCTTGAAATATTAATTGAAAAGAATAATAAACTAAAATAGCATTCTTGCAAACGTACAAATCTGCTTTCTTTAATGAAAACATTGATGTATTGTATTTAAAAATTATTAAATAATTTGTAAGTGTAAAATATAAAGTGTAGAAATATCCTTCATTTAATGATTTTTGTTACACTGGATCTGCAGAGCTGAGGAAAACACCCTTATAAAAGTCTTGCTGAATATAGTCTATTTCTAAGTAATCAGGCAAATGTGGTGTTTTAAGTGCAGCATGATACAATTCTATTGGTTTTCGTAGTGATCGCACTTTGACCCAGAATAGCACCTGTTTTGCCTTCATATATTTAGTCCTGATATTTCACAGCACCTATTGTGTAGCCATCACTATTACTATTATCAAACCTTGTTTCTCACCCTCATCAATGCTAGTTTGACACGAAGCACCAACATGATCACATTACAAAGAGAATCTATGTGAATATGAGGAACATAAACCTGGGGAGTTTGTACAATTCAGTTGGTTGGTCAAGACAGGCAGCAAGATTAGAACTATAATATACAATCCAAAATGTTGGACCAGTAAAGCATGGCTGGGTACTGTTCACAAGTTGAACGCAATGACCCAAGGGAGTTAAAAAGTCAAGTGAAGAGAGGAATGTGACTCAATAAGTTATAGCAGGGAACAGAGTTACTTAGAAATGCTACATTGATTAAACCTGTTTTGCATTAGCTCACTATTTTCAGTTCAAAATGAGATGTCAACAATCAAAATGGTACCAATACGGGGGTAAATGTTCTGTCATGGACAACATGAGGAGAAACAACTACTTACTAGTAGCTGTAAACCGTACAGAGTAGGTGGAAGGGAGAGTTTAGCTGGTGTTAGGCTCTGCACATGATATATGCAGTTAAATTATAACTTTACCTCACAGTGCTCACATTCACATATATTTTGTAGATAATATGCAGCAATAAATAGGTTAAATGTGTTCATTTTAGGTGCCAACCTCATGCCAGGAATTTGCAGTTTAGTTACATTATATATATTTAGTAGTTACATAGGTTGAAAAAAAGACTCCACTTGATCAAATTCAGACTTCACACATTGTTGTTTTAGTTGTTCGCTCAAATCAAATCAAAAAACAAATTATGCAAAAATTTGGAAAAAATCTTTTTTGACTCCAAAATACCAGTTGGATTTCTGCTTAAAACCTATCGATTCATATTTTTATTGCTGCAATATAAGAAGTGTATTAACAATTTCACCAGGATTCCACTCCCAAGAAGAAGAGCAGGGGAATAGGTAGAAATTATTCATCAGATATATCAAGCTTGGAAAGAGAAATCCCAATAACTAATCCCGTCTTAGAGACAGTGAGGACTAGAAAGAGGTCCATTCTGTTTTATGATGAATTATTGCTATTATTCAAATTCATTAAACCTGCATAATTCCAGTAAAACTCTATACAAGTCTTCGAGAGACTCTATCAATTGTTCTTCCATAACTCTTTCCACCTATTCTAGTGTAAGGAAGGGTATTGGACTCCAAGTGTCAAGAAATTAGATATTTAGCTTTGACGAAGCCAGGGTTCAATACAGACTTCTTATACACGAGATGGGAAATTGGTATCATTTGTAAAGTATCAAGAGGGGATAGCTAAGTTAACCCACATGTTTTCTTTATGCTTACAAGAAGCCCATTCTAAAAATAAAAAAAGATCTAATGCATTCACATTTCATCCATACATGTAAAAAAAATATCTCTGCTTGAATGACACATTCAGCACTCATCTGACAGGAGAAGTTTCTCAGATGGTATGGTCTGGTCAAATGTTAAAGAAACACTATTAGCATTCCTAATGCTAAAGTGTCCTAGTCACCGTTTAAGTGATCATGCCTGCACACATTGACAAAAGAGGTACTTTATTTACTCTTTCTCCCTTACAGGGACTGGTTTTGTCTGGGAACTTCCTCCTCTTTGGCTGAGATCATTAAGATCGATGATCTCAGCCCATCCAATGTTTTCAATTAGGAAAGCTTTGGTAGGCTAGTGTGCATGCAAAGCAAAGCACCGCATTGCACCAATAAGATCCTGTTTAATCATCTGATTAAAATAGAAGAGTTTTATTCTGCTATTTTACTGAAGTGCCTCTAGTGGCTGTTCCTGCAGAACAGCAATGTTTTCAGCTGCAGGGTTAAAATAGGGGTACATGGTACCCAGATCACTTCAAAGAGATGAAGTGGTTTGGGTGCCTATATGTCAAGGACAGACACCCTAACTCGCAAACAGTGAGGCAAGTAGAACCCTATACACAGGAAAGACATATTACTGAACTTAAGAATGGCTGAGTTTAATGTATATAGGAGGTATAAGATAGAGAGTAGTCAGAGACAGACAGATAAACAAGTATAACAGAGCCAAGGGTTGGGGATTCCAGAATACAGAATAAACAATAAAACAAAATAAGTCAGGTTCCAGAAATACTAATACTGGCTAACGATAACTATGACAAGGTAATGAAGAAAGGTTGCAAGGACTTTAAATAGGCTTCTGTAGTCTCTTATTGGCCTGCCTCACATATGACATCAAAATAAACACGACCCGCTCTATGTGAGCAATGAGTAGGGCCCACACAAGATGAGGGGCGCAACTTGAATAAAGCAAGAGGGAGGCAGAGCGCTGACATCAGGACAATATCTGTTGTTATTGCATTCAAATGGTGGTCAAAGGGAATCAATGTACCAAATACTGAAGTGATATAATACACACAATCTCATAGGGCAATATAGCTGGTATACCGAGTTAACATTGAAGTAAAGCAAACACTAATAAGTATCACACTCACATTTTCTAGAGCCTGTATATAACACTGACTCAGGAATGTACACTTAAGTGTGATATGCAGGATGATCTCCCAAGGTTTATTGATAGCAGCTTTCACCCTCAGGGGTAGATGATTAGAAAAAGTCAACAGATGTAAAATCAAGCATCATATTTTATTATACAACAAATTAAAAAAATATTCCATTCCATTTAGCTTAGTGCCATAAAAGTCCACAGTGATTTTTTTTTTTTTTTTATGAAGACCCCTATAGTCAATGGATTGACATAGATCCCCCTCCTTCTCTGATACAAACAAAAAAAGCTCACACATGAATGCCTAATGTATCTTGTCTTTAATGATTCTAGAATGTACTCCTCCATAATTGAATCCTGAGACAAAGGACATAGGAGACAAAGTATAGACAATACTTTCAGTAGGCATCGTGCCAGGTAGAAGGTCAATAGGACATATGAGGTATCAGCTTCTACTTTATCAAAAACAATACTGAGATTTTGGTATTGTTTTGGTACAACTATGCAGAAAGGTGATGCAGTAAAAAAATTTAAGGAGCAAAGAGATTTGACAGGCTTCAAACAAGACTGTTTGCAAGACAGACTAAGAGGCTAATTGTTTATCCTTCCAATCAAGGTGTGGATTGTGTTTGTGTAACCAAGGAAATCCCGAAACCACTATTTTTGCCTGATATACAGATGTAATCAAAATTTCAATTGAATTTGAGGAAACTACTTAAAGCATTCATTTTGTTCAGCTATTTCAATTGCTTTTGCTTGATTTGTTCAACAGTTGAAAGTCTGTAATTTTTGACAATACACCTGATTATATTTATGGGGGTTTAATATTTTGATTACAACTGTAAGAGACCAACAGATAGGTCAATATTCTTTGTCTCATGAATAAGCTGGCGAGTGATTAATGGTCTACCATTTATAGATTCAACGGACAAGGTTGTTGTTCTCAGCTTGAGTGGCAGAGAAAAAGATGTTGGACTAAGGTC